TACCTAAATGCCATGCTATAAGTAAACTAATGTAATTTACAAATACACTGAATTTTATTTCCTGCATTAACTTTTAAAGAAAGGAAAATTTTTTGTACATTCATATCATTTGGCTTCATAGATAGCATGCAAAAGCTATCAGCTTAAAGGGAAGCAGATATTCATGGATGGCATTGTTAGGAAAAGTGGCTTGCATTTGCATTGTATTTATATAATGTTTACACTGTTAATGGTAAAATCAATGTTTTATCAAAAATTTATTATTATTTTACTTTTAATATTAACATACAAACACAATTGTTTTAAATTCCAATAAACATATAATTTATTAAGAAAACTTACATTATGATTTATATATCATATTACATGTTCAAGAGAAACATTTGTCAAAAAATGTATTACACTTAGATTAGCAAGTTTATGCTATGTTAGTAACAAGGCTATCATATTTCAAAAGAGTATTAAAATTTGGCAAAATAAAATAAACATAAATTCTACATTAAATGCTTAAAAATTATAAATATAGAATATAATACATTTCATCAATTATGAAATATTAATGAAATGATATTTTTGGAAATAATGTACAACATTTTAGTTTTTGTTGGTAAGATCCTAGTACAAACCTTTTTGTTTATAATTAGTTTAACGAATTTTTAGAAAAATATTTTAGATCATTTCCATTTTTCTTCTGTTCATATTAAAAATCAGCTGCATCTAGTTAGTAAAAGAAAACATTACGTAAAGTATCATGCGATATATTTTTAATCAGATATAATTACTTCAATTTTGGAATTATAACATTTTCACCACATTACTCTTTCAATTAAATACCATAGCAGTGATTAAATTTTGGAATAACTAGATATAAATAATACGGTCAGTTTACGGCGTAACTTACCGGATGCACAATGACAAAATACTATCATTCGATCTGCATTTGGAATAAAAATTTTGCTTTGTTTTCAATATAGTGCTTGTTATGTGCTGTGCATTCTTTCAACTCAAAATTCCTCTGCCGTTAGACATTACGAACATTCATATTTATTAATAGCAAAGGTTAAACGTTAAAATACTTAATGAACATATATAACAGTGTAACGTGCATAAGGATAATCTACATAAAAGGAACAAAAAAGATCTCAAACAGTAATCGTAAAAGTTTTGTTACTTGCCTCAGAAACGCAACGAGTCAGCCATGTTTTTTGTCCCCCCCCCCTCCAATCAGTCACGTGATTTTTCCGCGTGACTGTTCAAACACGATAACTTCAGGGAATCGTACTCGCGAATCGTCTGTATTTCACACAGATTGCTTTCAAACTGTTGCCGTTACAGGAAATTCTTGAGTAACTTTTTCATTTCTGTAACTTTAAACTTTTGCCTGTAAAGAGCGGCCTTTTTTTTTTACAGTGTAGAAGGCAAGTCTCCCATTATGGTATGGCATGGTTGCGACTTCAGTTTTAAGAAGTCAAAAATGTGAATAATGCATTTTGTGATAGCAATTTATCAATAGAGTAGTGAAATGATGATTCTCTGGCATAAGAATTTGATGATTTTGATTGTGATCGAGTTTATTAATCATCCTCCTACTCTAATAATTCCCTCTCCATCAAAGAAAACATTCACTGGAATCAGTTTACTTGTTAACTCGTTCCTATTCATCTGTTTCTCCTTCTATTACTCCAGATTCGAGCCACTCTTCGAACACTGAATTGCATGTTTCAGAATTTATCTTTCAACATGAGCTTCTTCGTTGTGGAAATCAATCGTTTTTCAGCAACTTCTCTGTTACTTGGTAAAGCTTCTTTATCGTTGATCCAAGGTAAACTGACTTCATATCGATCATCCACCCTCTTCAGTCTTGTGAAAGTGACACCACATTGCTTCTTCTAACTCTGAATCAGTTTTATTTTCTTTAGAATCTGTAATTCCCAGTGCTTCTAGCTTCCACAAGTTTTCTATATCACTGCTGTGAGTCAATGTCGACGTTATTGTTGATGACATGGGCAAGGAGTTTCGTTATGAAACGCTATCTTTTATCTTACTCATGATTGTCCATCCAAGTAGTGATTCCACAGCAGTCATCCCATTTTCTAATTTCTGAATTCTTCTGGTTAGCAGAGCACCTGCGACGTGAGCTCCAAAAAGAACTTCTATTTTCAAATCCTTTTTTCCTACATCAGATGCATGGATATTTTCCTGCCTTAGTTCTTCTATCTATGGTCCAGACTGTAAACTGACTACCAGTCCACAAATCTTCGACTGTCTCAACAAGATTAGTCGTCTAGAAAAATCACCTCTTAGGCTTCTAACGTTCACTTCATAAGCGTTTGTGTATTTCTCTCTTTGTTGTTACTCCTCCAAAAAGTGCTGTGAATTAAAGATTCAGATCCAATTGCGAGGCACCCTTCGTCTACAGAAGTCCTTTTTAATATGTATGAAGGTTGCGATGTGTCGATAAGCCCTTACTGTCTTTTGCTTTTTGTTTGAATTGACATTAATTGATAGTGTTTGAAAAAACAATTCACCTAGGAAATTGGTGCTCGCAAGTCATAGGTTTTGTGTTTCTTCTTATTTATTCTTTTCAATATCATTGTTCTTTTGATTTATTGGTGGGCAAATCCGGACACATGACACCCCAATGTCTTTTCGAGCATATCAAACATCGTACATTTGTCTTGCATGTTTGGCTCTGTGTCCAATTTTGAGGCAGAAGAATCAACACTTCTTTTTCTTAATTTCATCATTCTTTTGACTCAGAGGCATCTTCTGAGCAACAAAACAATCTCGACCTTCATGATTTTTTTTCATTCAAGAATTCTTCTCACTATAACTGGTGCTTTATTATGGCCTCAGAATAAATCATTTGCTGTAGGCACGAAATGTTCACTCCTGGTACCTTTTATCTTTTCTACATTTTTTTCTTTGGCAGCCTGAATCAATTAATTTAAATTCAGCTTTCGGCAAAGAAATTCTGTGCTTTCCTTCCACTTCATTCTTTAAAAACAACAATAATTATTTCAATTTCTGCTGTAATTATTGATTTCTGCTGTAATTATTGATTGAGAATTTTCTGCTGTAATTATTGATGCATGATTTCTACAAGCCAAACTCGTAAAATTTCCTCAGGAATGCAAGATTCCACGAGCGGAAACAGCATTGCAGTGTATTTATCGCTTGTCATTTCTATTGACTCCAACAAACGTAAATACGACTCTAACTTGTCATACAATTCTGATAAACTGCATTTTTCCTTCTGATGAATGACATTTTTAATAATCAAATCTAATAATTCCCGAATACAGAATTCTACCAACAATTCTTCCCTGCCGAACCTATTTTTAAGCTTTTTTTCATAATTTTCGGCAGTTGCAGGGAAGCTGTTTACAGTATTACGTGGTCTTGTACTGGGTATGGTTGCTTGAACGAGATAATGTATCTTATCCTCGTTTTTAATTTCTTTATCTTCAGGTATTCGCCGAAATCGTCCCCAAAACCCAATCTTTAATTTCGCCACCGAATTGTTTTAACTCTATTTTACGTAATTTCAGTTTCCGTTTGTTCGAATTGGGCGGTACACTGCTAGTAGATTGTATCATTTGGCGATTGAAGAATAATTCCGTTTCTACTCGTATTAAATCTTTCTTTGTATTCTTCAACTTTCGCCCATTCACTTTCAAACTAATCATTTGAAGAAAATTCTGAATTATTTGAGTATCAAATGCATTAAGTTCAACAGATAAACGTTCTAAAGTAACAAGTTTCGTTTTTACAGATTTTTCATCAGGAATTTCCTTTTCTAATTCCTGCAAAATTGCATTAATTTTGCAAAAGCCGCTCTGACAGGTTTTCGTTTCTCAATTAACGAATCTATTTCAATAAAAATAAATTCAATAAAGTCAAATAGAATTAAATTCTATAAAACCAATAAAATTACCTTGACTTATTTTACCGATCACTTCCGTCGTCACCAAAATTGTTCGAGATTTGCAAGAACTAACTGTTCTCCTTTCTCCTAATAAACTTAAAATAAAATAACTTTACATATAAAATTCCAAAGCGTCATATTTATTTTCAAAATCCGTAGAACTACAACAAAGCTCCCATGGTTGCCACTCTTACAGTGACAAACTATGAAAGAAAACTAATAGCTGAGGCTGGGTTCTAACAACTGTCCTGCTCTAACACCAGTGTATCGTAAAAAGAATTCTCCGGTTTTTCATATTCTATCAAAGGTATAACTGCCGATAGCACACTATACACAAGGAACTGCTAATTTTTAACAGCCTTGCAAATTAAACAAATGCTCAAGTCCAACCTATGCTTACTTCAAAGTCTTTCAGAATTGTCTACATAGACGGCCTTCTCTCTCAGATCTAACATGTCTAATAAAAAATTGGTGACCATCAGAAAATGTCACAAGCAGCTTATAATCTCTGTGATATAAATGAAATTATGCAAAAGCTTTTACGAACGAAACTGACATCTGTCTTATTGAAAAATTATATCTACTCTACTGCAATTATTGCAGAGCTCAGATTTGAAGTCCCTGGGCAAGCCAGATACATTTCTAACAAGAACTGTTTTTAAAGTTCAGAAATAAAATCGATAAAATGTATACTATATTCTCTGGATAAACTTTCAAATAAAAAATTTTGCTCCTAAGATTAATCATGAGCTGAGGAATGTCGATTTTTACAAAACTAATTTAATTAATTAAAAAGCAATAAGTCAACAGAGATAAGTGTGATTTCAAATCATTCTTGCAATATTTATATTAGTTAATCTATGCGGAGATGCATAGTATGCTCTATCATTTATATTTAATTTATGAGAAATGTGAAAAGGCATGATGTATTTTTCATGAGTTTATAATATTTAACTCCGTGTGCACACGTGAGTTTTAAACATTGCTGTCATTCACACATTTATGCTTAATTTGCAATGCATAGATACGTTTATACTAACATGTAAAAATTACAATAAGAAGCTACTCACAGTTTTGATTTATTATTGTTTTTATTTCTTCCCTTTTTCTTAATAATTTATAATTGTTCTCTTTTTCAATCTATGCTAATAACTGTTGCAAATAACTTTTATTTGTGATTATATTTCCCATTTGTATTTTACAACATGTGTGGCAACACACTTTTTATATTTTTCTCTTGGCAACGTTCTTTTTTTTTAGTTGTTGTCACTGTTTTACTTTACCATGTAGAATTTACTGTACTTGTGCCATTTTGTGTTTCAATATATGTTAATTTAGATGAATCTCTGCTTATTTATTTGTCTCCATTCCTAACGTTAGACTTCATCAATAACATGCAGCAACCATGCAACAAACTTTTAAATTAAATGTTAACTGTTTGTCTTTTTCATATATAGCAGTGCTGCAAGTAGACTCTGAACATTTTTCTCAAGGAAAGTGATCTGACTCTAGTGAGTTAGTCTTCCTCGTGCCTGTGCTGTTATCGCTAGCACGCAGAAACGTGGTGTGATGTTTTGGTAGCATGTTCTTTTCTTTCGCTATGTAATTGTAAATAAATGTGATTAATTGAATAAGTTTAGCTTATTTGTGAATATGCAGAACTGACCTGCCGTAACTATTTACATAGTTTTAAATAATTATTATTTTTCTTGACTATTCATTAATAAACATTCACATGCTTTAAAACTAGGCATGCAATGTACGGAGTAGCTGTATCTTTTGTTTTGTAATGTTTTAAAACATCTGTATGTGCTATAATTCTTTTAATGTAATGTTCAATAATGTAAAGCATATCTAAGGAATCAATTGTTTAGAAATAATGAAATATAAATACTAATTTTCACAATGCAGGCTAAAATAGGTTAATAACATATTAAAAAAATTAAGTTGAATATTGATTATGAGAAATATTTCATGACAAAAACAACAATTAAATAATAATACATAATGAGGGAACTGGTAATTAAAATTGTATTAGCAGCTTGAATTATAACTCATGAGTATTTTTGCTTGTTTCTGTACAAACCAAATGCTGTAATGGAGCAAGTATGAAACTTTTCTTTTCCTAATAAAATTTCTTGGCTAATAAATAACACGACATAGTTAATATAATTGCAGATTTACATTAAGTCAATCATCATCACATTCTTCAAAGAGACTTAACTCTATTCCGCCTTCACACTCTGCATACGACACTTTCGAATAAATGGCATTTGGTGACTCTTAAGATTTTGCCAAATTAGCTGACATTCTAGTAGATCTGTGCCAAAAGCAGGCTGCAAGAGAGCTCCCTCATTCCTTAATCCAGTATGGTGAAAGCTTCAGTATCGTGAAACAACTATTTGCTTGCTTTTTGACAATAAATTTTTCTCCCACAAAATATCAAAATTGCTTTGTGTGAAATGGTTCTCGTGAAATCTAGCTGTGCAAGACATAATAAATCCTAACTGAAGTTTCTAACAAGGTCATGCGGTAATTCCTCTAACCTTAAATTATATCCTGATAACTGCTTAGGTCATCAATGATTCAATCTAACCCTGCCTTTCACATAAAATTAAAAAAAAAAAAAAAAAATCGCACATTAAAAATGCAAGTTATTATTTGTTTAAAAGGACATGCTGTAACCTTCTGTTAGTAAAAAAAAGGTGTACTTAATATAATTTCAAGTTATTTGTATTACATATAGATGAGAGAAATTTTACTATCAGTGAAAAGGCCTCTGTTGATTCATGTGAGCAATTCCTTCTAGCCATCCAGTCGAGAACTATGAGAATTTGAACAAAGGATTTACACATTATCCTATAACAATAAAATGTCTTTTCGAATGATATGTTTTGCTTTTTACAGCAACAGAAAATACTAATTAGTGTGCATGAAAAGAAAATGTTTTAAAATAAAAAACAAATCACAACATATAATTAATGTTCAACAATCATCAATGACCAGAGGTATTCTAACATATTAGCTGATTAAAAAACATTTGTATTTATCATTCTGTAGAGACATTACGATTTTTTGGAAGCCAAAGAGATAAAAAATTAGCAAACCATCTTTGCCGGTAATCGAACCTAGGACCTCTCAATTAAGCACTGAGCATGCAGATCACCACACCAAGAAGACGAGAGAAATACCTTTATATACTCCCCCTTTTAAAGGGTGACTGCAGATTTTAGGGGACCCAATCACAAAATCCTGGGTGAGGAGAATCATCATCCAACACCCTTTTAGTTTGGGTGCCACTGTAAGATTCATTAGGTTAATTTGGGAAGCAGCTAAATTTTAAGTTAAACTTTCTTTCCTGTACTTTCTGAATTTTAACTTACTACTTTTGGCCAGATTGTATTTTTCGAATCGCGTTTGAATGCAAACTGAGGAAGAGTGGTATTTAACCTCGATATTCTACTGTCTTCCAAAGATTACCAGAGATTTTGGCTAGCACGCATCTGCATTTTTAGGCTACTCTCTTTCTTAGGCTATTATTACACTTGGCCATACTCTAGGCCCTTGATAACTTTGTAGTCAATTAACATTAAAGGGCCAACTCTGTTAGAATTTTGATAGCTTCGGCTATATCTTTTTAGTTATGATTAGTTTTAAGTTAGTTCTTAGTCTGCTGAGTTCAAGCCCGAGTACACTGCAATAACGTTTGAATACCAGTGGTATATATAGATGTCAGTTATACTGGAGTGCTACAGAGACATGCATACGAAATGAAATAAGAAATTATATGATTGTTACACACACACACACATATATATATAGCGAGTTATTTGCACACACAAATATGTTAAAGACACGTGGTGCTTTCTTCACACATAAGAAACCACATTCATGGGCTCTTGACATTTATAGTCAAAATTCACATAAAACACACATCTTAACCACATTAACGACCAACCACATGAACAAGTTATATGTGATGAATCATTTGCCTGCAGGCATAATTTAATAAGCATGTTTACACACACTGGAGACAAACTATATAAATGCAGTCTTTGTAAATCATCTGCACACACAAGTGTAATTCTTACCCATAACAATGAGAAATAACACAAATGTGCTACCTGTAACTAATTATTCACAGTTAAACGAGTATTTAAAACATATTTTTATCCATACCAGTGAGAAATGATAAACATTTACTAAATATAGCAGGGCACTTAAATTTCAAGGATCATTTTACAATACATGTGCTCATGAGAAATCACACTGGAATGTTATATATAATGAGTGTTTAAAACATATTTTTATCCACACCTGTGAGAAATTATAAACATGTACTAAATAAAGCAGGGCATTTAAATTCAAAGGTCATTTTGCAATACATGTGCTTATTTCCTCTCATGAGAAATCACACTGAAATGTTTTATGCAATAAATTATTTGCATGCAAGAGTGACTTAGCTAAGAAATTCATTCAAAGATGCTGCCTTTGCAAAAGGACATCTCAAATTTAATCTTCAAATGTTTCATTAATGCATGAGTTCAATGTTTCATGTTACTTCTGTTCTTGTGAAACTTTAGCTGATTTCCAAAACGCTCCTTTACACTAATCGCCATGATGCCATTTCTTGCAAACTGTAAATAAAGAAAATACCCAAAATTATAAAATAACCTTACTTTACAGAAAAATGATTGAAAATATGATTTCTTAATAGATTAAAAATAAGCAATAGAATAAGAAATAGAAGATGAATGAGAACGTTTAAGAAAGACTGATGAATAACAGTTTAAATCATGCTTGAGTTCCATTTAATTAAATGAAACTTTTAAAGAAATTTGTTTCAATATTTTCATTTGAAATAAAATTATACTGAATTATCTCAACTCATATATATACTATCCTATCCTATTATTTATTTAAATAAGATTTATAATGTAAAATGACATTTTCCATATAATTAAATGATTATATATATATAACTAACTTGCATCCAATAAGTAATTTTCATTTGTAAAAAACAAACTGCCACAGAGTGGTTGTATTAATAATTAAGTACCTTATTTTTGAGCTAATAAAATTATATCTAAACATAAGACATCACTGATATTGAAAGATTAAATTTACATATCTCCTCAATGTTCCTGCGAATTTTTAATACCAAGAATAAGGAAAATTATTTTTTTAACTTGAGAATTAAAAAAATAATCTGCCACAGAGTGGTTGTATTAATAATTAAGTACCTTATTTTTGAGCTAATAAAATTATATCTAAACATAAGACATCACTGATATTGAAAGATTAAATTTACATATCTCCTCAATGTTCCTGCGAATTTTTAATACCAAGAATAAGGAAAATTATTTTTTTAACTTGAGAATCTCTACTTTTTATTGCACAAAACCAAACGTTAATACACATTTACACTATACCTTACTATGATGAATCGCTTGCACATTTCGAAGTGCACCATATAAACAAAACACACCCAGATAATATTGAAGTCTCTGATTAGTCAAACCTCTTATCTCACATGTTAACCCATCATTAACCACACTACCTTTCACTTAATTGAACAAAAATCAGTTTTTGATCTATTACAGACTAATAAAGAGGAAAAAAAATGTAACAGGAAGAAATATTTAAGACATTTGTATAAAGGCACATTACATTTATTACAAACAGTTATTGTTTGACTATCACAGTGTTTTTCAAACAGTTTTTTTCTTTTGGTTGTTTTTCTCGAAAATGTGGTTTGTAAGATCCTTTCATCTCTTCGCTTCAGGCTAAATTCTGAAAGAAAAATGGCTGGCCAACATAACATGGTATATCAAGATAAAAGCTGCATATTTTCAGAATATTCTTCTCTTGTTTCTAGTAATGCCAGAGCAACACTTCTTCGAAACTTTACCCAAGAATTTTTATGGTTTATAGCAATATCATACAGTTTCCATGTATTTCATTTAACTACGTGAATTCATAAAAACAGGTCATCCCCTTTCTTACCTTTTGCTTATGCTTTATACACAGCAAAACAAAACTGTCCATAAGGTCTCACATATCCATATATTTGTTGTAATTTCTGACTAGTTTAGTTTGCTTTAAAGACACTTTTTCTCTTTGGCCACTGAAGTGGATCAATTATATCAAAGTTAGTTGCCATAATTACTATGAAATTGTCATTCCATCAAACTACAGCATATGCCATGTTCCTTATCAAACACAGTGTCATAGGTGCCATGTTCTTCTTTTATGATTTTGTTTACAAGTACAATAAGTCAATTTTTTAACTTGTTCTCATGAATTATTCAGTCAGAACGATATCACAGCACTTTCAATTCTGACAATGCAACAGTGAAATTGACTCATGGAATGCAAAATAACAGTTGAAATACAGTGAAAAGTCATTAATCCGGACTCATCGGGACTTCGGCGATTCCAGATTATCGATTTTTCTGGATTATAGATCATCAGTTTAAATCTAGTAAGATGGCATGCAGAAATTATAAAATTAAAAATATGAAACCGTAATTTATGAAATAAAGAGCAATTATGATCTATAGGGTATCAAAATTTACAAAAAAACTTATTTAACTTATAAACTTAAAAACGTCACTTATTAAACTTTTGTTTTCAATCTTCTGAGCTATATCGTTGCAGCATACCGTAAACGCTGTTCTCAGCAACTTTCGTTTTGCTTTCAAAACTTTTACATCCATATTTCATCCAAAAATATAAAGTCGCGGACGCCAAATTTATTATGTTGCAACTCTCAGGGATACAACGTGCAGGTTACAAATTAAATAATCACAGCAGGGATTATTAATATAAAGATTTAATATGGATATCTCACAAAGCTGAAAAACGTAAAATTACTCTATCAAGTGCATATATATAACTGAGTGAAAAGGGAATTTCCCCGCTTAGTTCGCAGTTAAAGAAAAAAAAAATAAGAATAATAAAAAATAGTCCAATCAGAGCGGAGCTCCGTCTGTCAACCTTCGCCGAGACGTTACGTAATCGTCTGTCTGCAGCAGCCGTCTCCAACAATTTCGCTTTGTAGATCCTTTACATATTAGTAAATATATATCGGAAATTCTATTTGACATAATCGAAAGTTCAAGCTTACTTTTATAAAATTGCTCTAACAGTCTGCAAGAAATAATAAGCTGGATCCAATTCGAAGATTAAGGAACAACGCAATCTGCAACATTAACTGAATTAGATAATTTTAGCTTAGCTTATACCGTCCGTTATACGTTAAACGCGCATGCCCACAGGCATATTCGCAGCCGCAAAGCATATTATCCTGCACTTGCTGTTACCACACCTTTTTCTGCTACATATACGCAGATTACTAGGTTAAACATGTGAAACATTTTTTGATTATTTTTCCCAATGAATATCAGCATTTTCCAACTTCCTTCAAATGAAGAAGAAGCGATAGAATTTTTTAGAGAGGCTGGAATTTTACACAAAGAACGTGTACATAAAAACGACCATTATATGAAGTTTTATACTTCAGGATACAATGTCAAAAACTGTCAACAAAAGTTTAGTGTTCGAACTCGTAAGTGGTTTGTAAACAGTTGTATAGAATTTTTAAAAGCTTTAAGATTTATTTACTTTTGGGCATACGAACAGTCGTCCATTAAATGTTGCAAACATCAGTTGGATTTATCCAATAATACTGTTATTGGTTGGAATAATTATATACGTGAAGTCTGTGTGAAGGATTTGGAAGATAATCAAAATATTAATATTTGAGAACCCGGAACAATTGTCGAAATTGATGAAAGCCTTTTTTTGTGCAGAAAGAATAATCAAGGTCGTATGTTGTCACAATAGTAGTCTTCGGTGGAATTTTCCGGGAGACAAAAAAATAATAATAATAATAATAATAATAATAATATTGCTGAAGACTCAACAATAATGTCAGATCCTGGATATCTAACAAGAACAACTCGTTGCTGGCGGTTTTGAACATTTTAAGGTGAAACATCAATACAATTCTGCTGACCCATCTACGCAGACTCAACACATTTAAAAGATGTAGGGTTCCGCGAAATGGAGGAACAAGCGACAACATGGGACAAGACTTCATTCTTTGGATACTGTATTTTCCGGAAGAAAGGCCGCATCAGCGTAAATGCCGCACTCGAGAAAAATCGTGGGAAAAAAATTTAAAGTACAAAGAAACGCTGCAATAGATTAAATTGCGCGTGACATCGTCATGAGCCGTATAGATGCAAAACCTCAGCCTATGTCCTGATATATGACATATCAGTTAAGAAAAATGCATGTAATGAAACCATAACTCAAAAATAAATTAAAGGTAAGAGATGTTGTAAATACAGTCAAAAGTCTTTAATCTGGACTCGTCGGGACTTCGGCGATTCCGGATTAAAGATCATCAGTTTAAATTTGGTAAGATGACATGCAGAAATTATAAAATTAAAAATATGAAACCGTAATTTATGACATAAAGAGCAATTATGATCTAAAGGGTATCAAAATTTGCAAAAAAAAAAGCTTAATATTTATTTGTTTACTTTACTAAACATTTCTTTCAACGCGCATATGCATAAAGCATACATTATGCATGGTTGAAATTAGAAAATTGCAACCAGAAAACTATTTGATGTGTACTCATGATATTTATAATGACGAGGAATTTAATTTAAATCACATCAAAGAAGGAATACATCGAGATGAAATACTACATTTAGTAAGGAATTATAAGCTGAAAAAAATAAAAACATCTGCCCTGAAGATAGTGCTGACAGATCAACTTCCAGCTCATTGCGTGCAGCGACGTCCCCCCCCCGCAGAGCAGCGTGAAATTGATAAACAGATTTCGGAATGGTTAGAGAAACAAAGGATATGCCTTTAAGCATTTTTTAGAGCAATTCCACTTTTTGTTTGATGGGCATCAAAACATACCTTCGCCTTGGCAGCTCCAGCATCGGAAATTCTATTTGACATAATCGAAAGTTCAAGCTTACTTTTATAAAATTGCTTTAACAGTCTGCAAAAAATAATAAGCCGCATCCAATTCGAAGATTAAGGAACAACGCAATCTGCAACATTAACTGAAATAGATAATTAGATAATTTTAGCTTAGCTTATACCATCTGTTATACATTAAGTGCGCATGCGCACACGTAAAAGTATTACGCGTATGCGTTAATGCATTATGCGTTGACGCATGCGCAGAAAGTTTGTAGCTTTGAGGTCCGGATTATAGATCATTTCGGATTAATGACTTTTGACTGTATATTTACATTCACGAATATACTTATATTCACCCACTAAAGAAGTCCATATTTGTAACACTCAGACTATATTATAAAAAATGTTGCAACAATGAAATATTAAATTTGGATGACAAAAGGAAATTTTAAATTTTACTTACAAAAGGAAATACAGCAAGCTATGCATCATATAAAGCCATCAAAATCTGATTCTTCACTATCTGAATTAAAAAGATTTAGAAAATCTTGATCTAAGTCCAAGTCTTCCAGATCGTCACGTTTCATTCTCTTGGTTTACAGTCTCTTTATCTGAGGATATAATTTCAGCTTCTTTGAACCCTGCTATTATTGACGATGTTTTTACCGATTTCCATGCACTTCCT